CGGGCGCTGCTGGCGAAGGGGTGGCGCAGCTGCACGGCAGCTCGGTAACAAATGGTCACATTTTTATTGAAACAGTTTAAGACACGGAGTACAAATGAATACAGACTTAAAAACAGCTCCCGGGGGGAGCCTTACAGTGCAAAAAAAAAAAAAAACAAACCAACAAACGATTTTTATTATTTTTTTTCCAAATAATTAAAAAAAAAAGGACATTTTAAAGGATTATTTAACCTAAAGCCAAAAGTATAAAAACACACATTTATAAATAAAGCAGGAGGGATTTTTTTGTGTGTTTCGTTCTGTTATTTTCAACGGGTGAAGGAAAGGGTAGCGTTGGAGAACAGAAGGAAAGAGTTGCCTGCCTGGTGCCCAGGGCGCGGGTAGGACATGCGGCGCGGACATGGCTTATTCCTTTTGCTGCTGACCCACGCATCTCCCCCTCGACACCTTGCAGCGGGGTTACCCATTGAATACGGCCCCCGCTGCCCCCCTGTTACTTACACACACGATCGGAGATGTGGGACATGCTGGTCTCATCCAGAGAAGGAAGCACCTGCTCACTCAGGGGCTGCTAGGAGACCTGTCTGTTATTTTAATGAGGTTTTTGTCATTTAGTATCCTGGATGCTACACATCCAACGGGGTGGGGTGGGGGGAGCCACCATATACATGCAGGAATGGCGTTTAAATAGCTGTATTTGATTTTTTTTCTTTATATATAATCATATACATATTCTTTCTTTTAAAAAAATCAAGTTTGTATGTTTCTACTCGCGGAAAGAAATGTCCAAACTCCTCTGAGTCACAATGAAGTCTGCAGAACAGGGGACTGGGGAGGGGGCTGCTCTAAGGCCTGCCCCAAACATCGCCTGGGAGGTCCCACGGAAAGGAGAGGACAACCTGAGAGAGGAGGTGGAAGAAACGCAGACTCCCATACACACAGCTCCTGGGTGCTACTGAGGGATGGGGAGGAGGAAGGCTCTACCTGCCTGCAGCAGGAAATAAAACAGAAAGAGTTTGCTGCCCTCTCAGGTTGCAGCCCTTCCTACTGCACCAATTCAAGAGAACCCAAGAATCAACTGAGGGGTCCCACAGGCAAAGTAATACTATTTACAAGACAGAAAAAAAAACCCAAAACCCAACAACTATTCTCATTTTGACATCAGGAATGTTGGGTTGGAGAGGAAAAATTATACGTAAAGAGGATAGGTAGGTCCAAATTATTTTTTCAGGCTTTATGTTAAACAAATAACTCATCTTCATACAGACATCTGGTTATGCCTATGCTAACACCCACACAAACTAGTAAGAGGGATCACAAAACAGTAAGTGGGATGGACTCAAGTTTATTACCTCCTCCCGCAAGCCTCTTCACTTCCCAGGCAGTTACCATTCAGTATTTCTCTACCTGGCCCAACGGACAGCCTGTGGAGAAACATATTCACAAGGTGCAACACATTGTAACACACTTACGCTCTCTTTGTTCTGTAAACTAGAATTTTTAGGAATATTTCCTACTGCCAGCAATAGGAAGTTAGCAGGGAAGAATCAGTTGGATCAGTCTCAAATTATCAAAAGCAACACCATCTCCTCACCCCTCAGCAACAAACTTGTGGCACCAGCTACTACTCGATTCGCAACATCCAAGCCTTGGGCAAAGAGCTGACGACTTTGCCGTTAAGAAAAAATAGATGCTTAGAGGACAGCAAGCGAAGAAACAAGAGGCCTAATAGGACATATTTAAAAACAACCCCCTTCCAATTCATTCTTCAACTACAGATCACCATCTCAGTCCTAAATCTACTTTCCTGAAGCCTTTCTGTACTATACATTTCACAGGTATTGGCCAAATGGTGTTCCTCAGGCCAAGACCATCTCCACCTCTACTCTGTGTTATTGAGTGTCCTACATATACTATTCTAATTTATTTTAAACTACACAACCATCCTCCAGCTGATGTACTTGCGCGACACCTCTCATACCATCATTCTGATCAGATTTTACCTCTGGTTTCCCATAATGTAGTCGTGACCCCAAGCAAAATCCATTCCAGGAAGTAAAACCCACTCTGATCAGCTTAAAAATCAGATTTGCTTCACATGACTCATTTCCGATGAGCTTTGTTTCATATCTCTATGCCAGCTTCACTGGTTGTTGCTCTTTAACTTAATGGGAATTTCATTCTCACCACTGGCTCTTCCGTATCATCTCTGACCCTTTTTGTCACTACCTCAAAGTTTAATAATAAAATGGAATACAATTGCACAGGGAAGTAATATAAAGGACCCTCAAACCGTTATCGCCAGTACCAAAAGATACCTGGGTTGAAGGGACTGCTATTTTACCTGAGTGTCTTGTGGCCCCAGCACAGCAAGAAATTTCCTGTATACTAGGACATATGTTCACAGTCTGAAAGCGGAGGAATGAATCACCTCAAAAGCAAGCTTGAACCACACTAACTCCATCACAGACCCAGCATGACTGCCATCATACACTCAACTTGCGGCACCTCCAGCACACCTTTTCACTGCAGGAAACTGCCAGAAATTTCCTCTCTGGTTTTCAATTTGCCTTCCTCTGCAAAACCTGTCTGTGCAAGAGAAGCTGCCCATGGGACCGAGCACACCAGCTGATTCAGCACAGTGCAATGCTGAGACACGACTAGAAAATAACACTGTTAAAGTTTCAGTACAAGCCCATAGAAGGAAAGGTTAGCAAGGACACCTGAAACAGGATTAGGCAGATTTAAATTACAAGCAGAAGTAGCTGGAAAGCTGTCAAAGTGCTCCCCATCCTGCCAAGTCCTGAAGCACTCAGCAGTGGTGATCAGTCAGCAAACCTGCTAGGGGGAGAGCGAGAACTGCAGATTATTCATCCCTGGAGTTATTCAGAAGAAACAGGTCATCCTATACCAGTCTGGCCAGCCCAGTAGAAAAAAGGCTGCACTGCAGATCTCCAGTCACAGAAAGACAGGGAAGTCAACAGACCACATTTCCAAGTGCCACAGGGTTTCAAAGAGATGACAGCCAGGACAGTAAAATGAAAGAAAACTGCTTCAAGCCTGTAACCTATGGAACCAAGTGATGCAGTCTGACTGCCTTTGAGTGACTCCCACAGATGCTAGCAGTGTCTCTCCCACCGAAAGGCTGTTGCTTGCATTAGTTTTATAAACTGGGATTACACTGCTCTGCCTTAAAATAAATACAAGCCAGACTGGAGATGGAGGAAGAAATAAAGCATTTTGTGTATCTGTCTCTGTTGTGGAAAGGAGTGGGAGTGAGGGGGAAGGTGCTGAAGAATTTCATTGGTTTGAAATTTTTTTTCTTAGCTTATCTTTGACCAAAGAAATCATCACTGGACAGTTTTAAGCCACAACAAACACAAGTTAGCATGGGCTTAGAGAAGCTCCACAGGGTGAGAAAAGTACTGCACACACACAAATGTAAGAAGGGAAGATTTTCTGTTTCTCAGACCAGAAATTCACAAAAAGCAAAGAGGCTGGGAGCAGGGAGATGGCAGTAACCACATCCCAAACTATCTTGTTTGAAGTTCTTGAGAAACCATTTTCTGTGGGTAGCTGAAATAGCTTTATAAAATGTAAGAGAATCCCAGCTTTCTTGGGATGTAAATACTCTGTTTTCCTGGAAAAGCAAGAAGAAAATATTTTCCCGTCGCAGCGAAATGAACAAATGACATGGATGAGCCATTGCACTGAAGACCTCTCAAATCCAGAGTTACACTGTAAGAGATGGAAACCAGCTTTTCCATGTCACTTCTTAACAAATAAATCATTACCCCAAATTTCCCAGTCATGATAACATCAAAGTCAATACCCAATTTCTAAAATTGAAAGGTGGATGAAACAAACTTCCATATTTGTATCTAAATCCCATTTTTAAAATGTCTGCAGAAAAGCCAGTCTGAGGTATCAACATAACGTCAAATTCCAGGTTTAAAATATCAATACTGAATTCATTAAGTAATCTCCAAAGCATGGTCCAAGGGTTGCAGAGCCTTCCACCAGAGGCAAATGCAGATGAAACACAGTGTGGGGACTGTCTTGAAACAAGAGAAAAGGAGACAGGGTTGTCATGACAACAGTAAGATTACTCCAGGAAACAAAACTAAGGCAGGACAAGAAAGAATAGCAAGACAAGATTTAAGAAGAAAACAGTTCATTAATTGCACAGACACGCCAGCCTGTCTCCCTGTTGAGGGTTTATAATACAGAGATTGTTTCTCGCTGAGATATGGCAAAGGGATTGACAGTTTTTGTTAAAGGACAAAGATCATAGCCACAAACGTGACATAGAGCAACAGTCAGAAAAATAAATTAATAAATAAACCCATAAAAAGTCTGCTTCTTGATTCTCATGAAGCCTTGGAGAGGAAGGGATTGGCTTCC